TAAATAGACCATTCACCCATTCTAGCCATATTAGGACCTTTCACTAGGGTTCCCACTGGTGCTGCTCGCCACCCATCTCCAAGCCACGCGGCAAACCTCGCCAGTCGTGCTCGCACCTCGACCCAGGCCGCGCGACACCAGCCCTCGCCAGGTCACACGGAGCCGTACTCGTCGACCCGCCCCATGCCGCGCGGCGGCGCCCTCTCCAGGGTCACACGCTCCACTACCTGCGCGCGCGCCTGCCGCCTCTACGTGCGGCTTCCTGGGCAGCGCGGGCCTCCCCGACCGCACTATTTGGCTCAAGCCTCCCCGTTCACCATGATCTAGGACCACCCAGTGCTAGAGATCTCTTCGCCGACGGCTGTCAACTCGCGGCGACCATCCTCAACTTTGCCACGTTACTCCAGATGTAGGCAAGTACCAGGAGCGGCCCCGTTGCCGTTCGTGCCTGGATCCAACCACTCTGGCGTGGCATGGTCGACGCAATCGGGCTCGTTGTGCGTGGTCTGGCCCGGCGACCGCGTCTGCTCCTTTGTCGACCTCGGGTCCTTCGCTGACTTCATCGTCGTCGAGGAGAAGCAGCTGTGAGTTCTTATTTGTGCTACTATAATTCCTTTTGGTTTTCCTTTTTTTGTTTGAGGTCACGGTGGTTCGATACTTTGAATTTAGGAGCATAAATGTTTGCTGTTTTTAGAACCGGTAAATCTCTTGATACTTTGTTTGTGAGTTGCCAGAAATGATGGATCAATGGTGACATGAATAGAATCTGTTGGGTTCACGATGCAAATATGATCCTTTGTTCGATTGTAGTATAGTAGTCCTGTTGTGTTAGCTTGGTAGTGGCATTGCAAAATATAAACCCGATAGGATTTTCATTTATGTGTTCATGTTAACTAGACAATGCACAGATAAATGGATAATGCCTTTCATGGCCATACATGCTAATAACAAACAAAAAATTCTTTGTAGGCCACATACCCTGTTATCGAGATATAGTAACCACTCAGATTACTTATGCTTTTTTGTATTGCTAATTTTTGTTGATTTATTCTTGTAAGTTGATTCTCCTGCACATGCCTCTTTTTCTTTCCTGTTGTGATGGTTATGGAGTGCAATGGATTGAGCCTGAATTTTCTACCAGTCTGAATCATAGGAATCGTGCTGGGGTTGTATGAGGACAACAGATACAAGTCTGCATCAAAAAAGGTGCACCTGATATTATTAGACTGTGTTATGGTGCCGAGATGGATCAGAAACAAGTATGCTAATGATCTTCGTCAGGTGTGATATTCGGAAGAGAGCTTGTAAACTCTCCTGCAAATGTCCTTATCCCTTGTCAATAGATCTTTCATCAAACTTTGATTGTTCTTCATAGATTAATTGTCAGTATACTTATTGCAGTCATCCTTTGTCCTTTCAGCTGTGCTTGCGGAGGAGGCATCAAAGATCGCTTCTACTTACAGTGATGTGTTCACTGCCATAATACTAGATGTAGAGAAATGCAAAGAGTTGAAGATATGTTCCTGCTTGGGAGTTGCTATTGTGTTACAAACCCACTTATGGGAACGTCAAGAGAAAGCTGGCTATTGTTGTGAAGGGTTTAACTTTTGAAAGATTTGTACTTTGTAGTACTTGCAACATATTTAGTGGCTTTATGAAAAACTAGAAGTAGACATGACGGTGGAATAGTTTGTTATTTTTCTTATGCTTGATTTGCCTATGACTCCAGTGGTGTCTACAACAGACTAGGCTAGGCTGAGCTGATGAAATTTGACATGGGAGAGAGGTACTTCATTTTTCACAGCCTCATAATTGTATGAGATGTACAGGCTTTACCGTTTTACCCATATTAATTTATCTATTAAATTTCTATGATTTTTCCCTTCTGACAGGGTCACTTTATAGTCGTTGCCTGTGAAAATATGATTCATAGTTGGACACGACACGACAAGTGATGACAGTCGACAGGTTGAACGTAGCCCTGATCCTGCTGGCGTCTAACCCCTCTGCGAGGTGATGTCTCCAGGTGCTTCAACTAGCTGGTGCCACAGTATTTCAATCACTATACTACACCCCAGTTACAGACTTTGGTCTAGTAAACATGCAAGACAGGTAAGATCAAGTTCGAATACATTTCAGTCTTTTCACGATAAGATCTCGCTGATTCAGTTCTTGCTAATGTATATTGTCGGAACTGAAAGAACAACACTACTGCAATTAAAAGCTGGTTTCAAAATATGTTGGTAAGCTACCATTAGTCTATGACAAAATATGTTGTCATTCCTGCTCTGATATAGGGAAGGTTCATTGTTAAGATATACTTATTATATTTCTCAGACTGATTAAACATATATCATCTTTTCTTCCAGACTGATTAAACATCGAATTGAAAAGGATTCCCTATAATACTGTTGCATACATTTTCGCATGGAGACAGGAAAAGGTGCCATTGGAGACAAAGGCGTCAGGCGTTCCCAATCTAGGTGACCATGAGTGACGTGCAGATAGTCTTTAAGTCATGATTATGTTTCTTTTTATTTTTTCAATTTAGCTTGATTCGTTTTGTTGATTAAGTTAACGATAGTATGTGCATCCATTGGTTGAGTGCAGAATGAAATTTGACTTGTGGATGACATCGGTGCAGCATGTAACAATTCTTTTTATAAGGATGTGTGATCCATCATTGGGTACTACGTGCATGAATTTGTATCAATGCTAGCAAATAAGATATGAACCAAGCATCTACAATCCACACTGAAAATTTTTGATCCTGGGTTGCCGTTGATAGTTCAATTTCATTTGCCACCGAGTGACCCTTCATATTGGCTCCGCTATGATGATTATGTTCTCCCCTTTTTTTTGTCAGTCTGCATTTCTGTGAGTGAATAATGTACCAAGTTGAATAGAGCTATTAGAACATGTTCTTTACATGTGGAAAAAAGACCATACGGGTGAATATAAAGTGACCTATATTTATTTATTGAAATTGCAGTGTAACAACAGACTATAATTCTTTTCAACTTCTTCCCAACATCTATCATCCTGGTGTTCAACGTGGTTGAGGAATCCAATTTGCTATCAGATAATCATTCCATGGTACTGGAATGGGTATAATCATTTTCACAGATACTTGATAAGTTCTGTATGCCCTCGATGCAAGGACGTTGTGTCAAGACACTGTTTTTGACAATGCATATTAGACACAAAATATTTTTGATAAAAGTAAGTGACTAACAATTGCATTGCAAGTAGTGAGATTAGCGGAGCACTATGTCAAGTTTAATATTGTTCCTTCATTTCTTCCGGATCCTATTCACTTGGAAGAGGTAGTGAGAGAGCAGATTACAGGGGTGAGGATCCTGAATGCTCTTCAGCTTTTCAGAAATTTTGTACTCACTTATCACTAGGTGAGTTGTGTTTTGGGAAGGAGTTTGTATCACCTTCCTCGGGCTCATAAAATCAGATTCGGCCATTATGGCCCAACCAAACCGTGCAGGCCGGCAGGAACGGGCCTGATACGAGAACGGCTCTGTCCTGTCATCGTGCCACCACCTGGCCTCCCAGCAAATTGAAACCCAGGTCAGGTGCGTGGGTGGGCTGTGCGCTGTGGGATGTCCCCGTGACGCGGACGAGGCGAAACTGCGGCCGCCGGCCGGCGTCGGCGTAGTTGTTTGCAAAACCCAGCTCCTGCTTTGGGCCTTCAGGCCTGGCCGTGCCCCGTACGGTGCGCGTGCGGCGCGGTGGCACTCCCAGTCCCAGTCTCTGGCAGCAAATTGACCGGCGCACGGCCCTGGACCTGGAGTGGGTGAACGCTGATCATTGCTTCGGCCCCGGTGGAGCTGCGGTCCCATGCGCGGCGCGGCGGCGGCCGTGTGTCCGTGCACCGGCGGATTTGAGACGTTCCAACCGTCAGACGACAGCCTCGCGTCGCGTCGCGTCGGACGACGGGTTCGCACCATACTCTTCCAAGTCTCCATCGTCCGAATACTACACGCTTTGGTTCTTGTAGTACTACGTAGTAAATGCAAGCCTACTAGCCTCCACTGTCCTCTCTTGTAACTTCGTGACCGAGATCTAGCTATCAAATCCGGGACATTGATCATGGCGACGTGATGATCTCAATTAGGGCTTCCTAGGTTCACTGCCTCACTGGTTCTTGTAAACTCTGCACTTTTTTTTTTCTGATCTGATGTAGCAATCAGGTTCATAATAAAATGGTTCTCTTTCTTCTAGCAGCGCTCTTTATGCTCTGCTATTGGGCTGCACAATCATGAACCGTAGTTACAAAAGGGAGCGCATCATTCAGATGCCTTGAAAGCAAAGTCATCTGTTCATTGCACCGGTGCTCCGAAGAGGTGGCCTTTCTTCCATTCTATGGCCCAGGATACAGCATTGCCCCCAGCCATTCTCTCGGTCACAGTCACACTGCCTCTGCTCCTCTGCAGTCTGCCGGACTCAACCTTGTCGTTCTACTGCATACTCCTATTAACGTTGTCTGCTGTCATCGGTAAATGGATTGCATTGCAGTTGCAGTACCTCATTGCCGTTGTAGTCAAATAGGTATCCGGTATCGTTGTCACCTCGCTACCTGACACCTGCATGCAGATCTCTCGTACACACACTATCAGAGGCTGCGAGGCCGTAGTACCGCCCCCACTCAGCTTTCCCTGCACATGAGCGGCGCAGAAAGCTCAAGCTCCCCGGCCCGGCCGTTGCCAACAAACTCCATCGTGGGCCGTGGCCGTGGAGGGAGAATCAGAGAAAAGTAACCGGAAACTCGAGTGCGGACAGTGTCACCCACCCACCTCTATTTCGCTTCCACCACCTGTGCCCGTCAGCCCCCCGTGTGCATGCGTGCGCGCCATTTCCCCAGACCCCTTGATCGTTCACCCCCGCACGAACGCGCCACCACCACCACCAACCATCTTTCCTTCCCCGCGCTGTCACCTCTCGGTCCCGGCCGGCAAGTCCATACGGCCGACGTCGTCTCCAGTTCCACCATGCCTCCACACGACGACGACGTCCGCGTCCCGCCACCCCGGCCCAGCCGGGGCCACCAGCCGTCCTTCTCCGCGGCGCTCCTCGACGCCATCTACCACTCCCTCGAGGCCGACGCCGAGGCGCGCTCGTCCACGGAGGCGCGCCGGACCCGGACGCCGTCGTCCCCGGCGCGGCGGATGCCGCTTCCGAGCCGACGTCGCCCGATGCCCGAGCAGTCGCCGTCCCGTTCCTCGGTCCGGTCACCGCGGCTGCAGAAGACGCCGCGGCCGTGCCGCGTCCGCCCGGACCCGCAGCCCAACTCGAACGGCTCCCTCCTCATGCCGCCTCCGCTCCCTCCGCCACACCCACACGAGCCGTCGACCGGTGACCGCCGCGTTGCGGACGCGGAGATGAAGAGGGGCAGGAGGAAGAGGAAGAGGACGACGGCGAAGGCGGCGCCGTTCGCGTGCCTCCTGAACGCTCTGCTCTGCAACAGGAGGCCGGCCAGGTCGGTCGACCACACGCCGCGGGCAACGGCAACGGCCGCGGCGTCATTCGCGGCGGCGCCGGAGCCGGCTTCGGCGAGGTCGATCCTCTCGTCGCGCGCTTCCCGGAGGGAGTCCGCGGCGACGGGAGGGATCCTGACCCCGGCGAGGCGGGCGGTGAGGTTCTCGCCCGTGGCGACGGTGGTGGACGACGAACACGGGCACGGAGTGGTCGGGACGGCGCCGACGGGGCTGCGGGACGCGGGGGCGGAGATGGCGCGGGCGAAGGAGTCCGCGGCGGAGGCGGAGAGGAGGGTGGAGGAGCTGCTGCGCGCGCTCGGTGTGGCGGACGAGCGGGAGAGGGCCAAGGAGAGCAGCGAGTCCAGCTCCGACCTGTTCGAGCTCGAGAGCCTGGCGGCGTTTAAAGACAGAGACACCGAGATGCCGCGTTCCAGAACCGCCGCCGGCGACGGTGCCGGGCTGCTGGCACGGCCGCAGCCCCGCGTAGCTGTGTAACGATGATCGATGATCATGAACAACTACCTGTGTCGGTGGCTTGTATGATCAAAGAGACAAGTTATGCCCCTTTTACTTTTGGGCCTTTGTGATGGTTTTAGCTCTCATAGAACTAATAGGGTGGTGTTGGATCACTAGTTTAAGGAGTAAAGTTTAGCCTCTAAAGTTTAGTCTGATGGTCTGTTTGATCCATGGTCTAAATTTTAGTTTTTTAATATATAATAATTGATTTGTCCTCATTTAATTATTTATGCACAGCCATGCATGCTGGCATGTGAGTGGGAAGCGTAAGGGTATGGGAGGTCTAGCGTCCGCCCCGAGAGAAGTTAGCCTAGTTTAGAGCCTTTTTGGGGGCAAAAGATTTTAGCCTAGTTTTTAGCCTTTTGCTCATTTTTAGCCTCCTGTTTGATCCTCATGGCAAAAAATAAAAAAGCTAAAAGTACAGGGCTCTAAGTTTTCCATGGGATAAACAGGGCCTAGGTACATCTTGATGGCAATGTTGGAAATGGCTGGTGCCGGAGACTTTGCAATGTTTGCATGCATTCTCGGTTCTGGACCGTTTCATCTCTGCGTGCAAGTTGAGCTAGGCGCTTCGCGCTTGCACTTTGCTATGTGGCTTTTTGGGTCGAAACGAGAAAACGTCCTAAAAAATATACCCAGCAGTTTTCATTTATTTTTTAAAAAATGTATATCCTCAGTGCATCTGTAGCGTGCTTTCATCAACAGTAGTTGATATGCGAAGTAATCCTAGAAAAAAATGTATACAAACAGTTCACCCTCTCATGAAATTTATTTTTATTTGGATTTTTCTATATTGAGTTTGCATATCAAAATTTGCGAAGTTCATACATCATTTTATTTTATTTTTTTTGAAAACTTATAAAAATATTTTTCAATCAAGGCTATGAAGAGGTGGCTTGCGCTACATATGTTCCCGACTAGTGGTGTAGGGACATGGTTCTTTTGAGAGCGTGCCTCCTTAACGACCAATGGTTAACGACAGTTCAGTGGAGTGGTTTTCTAGCCTCATGTCTCTAGGGTTATGAACTAAGTGTACGAGACTGTTTGGTTTTAAACATTTGAGTCCTATAATAATTTTGGTCTGATTCAGTTGTCGGATGAAGCCGGATGTTATTTCATTATCTAAAATAAAAGAACTTAATAATGAGATTATTATTCTAGAAAATGTTACAAACTTAGACAGTGACATGGATTGATCCCGAAGAAGCTCAATGAATACTTGAAATAGTCGAAGCTAAATTGAGTAGAGGTGTACAAATCGAGGTTGTCAATTGGCCACCTTGAAGTGTTTCCCAATTGCAAGTGTTTCGTTCTAGAGCACAGCCCAGCCCAGATAGGGTAGGCACTTAGCCCTCTGTGCTATATTTAGCGAGAGCGAGCCCAGCCCATAGGGTAGGCCGCGCACTGAACCGATTTCGGCAACTAGCAGGCCATGTGTGCCGTATCTTGTGGGGTGGCCCAACTGATCCCAGGAGCCCAGAGGCCAAGGTCCGGCTCTGCCTGCGGTCCGCGTCGCCCGCGGCCCGCGCTGCGAAACTGAAGCATGGCGTTCCACTCTGAATCTGACGTGAATCTAATGGTTTCCCTGGGACAAGGATAGCCATTTTCCTTGTTACATTACATGTATCTGTATGACTGTATTCCATTGCCGCTCTTCGGTGTAGGCCTGAGTCTGCGTCTTTCAGCAGCAGCAGCATACGCTGTTATAGGTTTTGTGTAGGCCCATCGTCCATCCATCTGTGCTTTCTGCCTGTCTGTTCAGTGCTGAATATACCTCGGCTAACTTTCTCAGAATGCTGAAAGGGTCAAAGGATCCCATATTCCCGTTGGCATAACTTCCTCTCTTTTTTTAATAAAAAAAATCGGAATATTTTGAAGAACAAAAAGGAAAGGATTAATTATTCACCACTTGGTTTACAGGCTATTTGTATAGACAAGTACTCCACTGAGGTTCTGCACATGTACAGACGAGAGACGACCACTCTTTTTTCAGAAGTGGTGATGAGCTGAACTTGTGGTTTTTGCGCCCTTTTCCCGGTGAATAATCTTGACTCCTGATGAGAAAACAAACGTTGGAAAAAGCTAGGTCGTTTCAGTGGACAGCCGAAGCTTTGCATCCAGGGTACAAGTACAAACATTCCTGATAGTGATAGGCCAGCTAGCACTGATGCCCTTGCACTTGTTGCGTGTCCTTTGGAAACTGGAGCACCAGTAGCTTTCAGTTATCACGGCAACTGTACCCAGTGCTGACTATTCTTCCATGGAGGAGAAAGGCAGCCTGCCCTGCCCAGATCTCATTGCCATTGGAGTGGACTGTATCTTGAAAGCTAAGGCAACCTTTGGCAGATATAGGAAGCGCTGGGGAGAATTATGCTGCTACTTTGGGAACCCTGGCAGGCAGAGGCACGCATGGGCAAGAATGGAGCCCCCCAAAGCGGCAGGCTGCGTGCAGGCTTCCTTCTTTAATCTCTCTTTTTGGTGCTCCGGTGGCCCGGAGGAGGTGCCCGATTCGGCATTGTAAAATGTAAGTTGCACGGAGCTATCCATTACGGCTGCACAAGTTGCAGTTTTTGCGTCTAATGGGGCCAGCGAGCTGTGTGCACGAGCTCGCGCTCTTTCGTGTTTCTCATTGGGATGGGACCCTTCCTCTTACTCTGAAGCCTGCTGCTGCTACTAGTAAACTTGAGATTCTGAAACATAGGCCCTGTTCGTTTCTATTATAATCCGTTCTTTTCAGCTTGTTTTTTCAGTCGAAAAGGTGTTTTTCTCTCACAACAAATCAGTCGAAACAGTGTTTCGGCTTGTTTTTTCAGCGAAGCGAATGGGGCCTCGTCGGTGGTGTTATATACTGCGACGGGAAGAAGAGGATCCTTTTGGTATTTTTGCATGGCTGCCGCGCATGGGTGGTGTTATTGAGGCGCCCCGACAATGACTCTGTTTCCGTGAAACCGGCCTGAGCCTCACAGAAACTAAGGGCCATAATCTTTTGTCCACTTGTCGATCGTGTCAAGGCAGGCAAAGACACTAAGAACTGACAAAAAAAATATACAGAAGGACCAAATGTAGGATTCTTATGGCGTGTTTGGTGCAGCTCAACTGAGGCAGCAGTTTCGAAAAAGAAGAAGTAGGAGAAACCACACCAGACAGCTGAGGAGAGAAATCTGTTTTTGGATATACAAAGGATAAGCCGGTGCTGTTTCTCGTGTAAGGAAGAGGATCTATGATTTGAGGCTCCTTCCTACGGCTCCAGCTCCGGTGGTGGAGTATCTGAAAGAGGAACACACCAGACACAACATTATTATTACTAACTCCATCCAGAAAAATGTAATTCCAAACTAAAGGTTTGACTAAGTTTATATAAAATATTATAAACATTTATGACTTAAAATAGACATATTATAAAATATATTCTATTATTAACCAAATGATACTTATACCACGTCATAAATGTTAGTATTTTTTATAGATTCGATCAAATGAAAAACAATTTGATTTATCAAAAAAATAAAAAATATATATTCTATTGGGATGGAGAGAGTATTTCAACAAATTGAAACAACTTAGGCATATATGACTTGTCAAAAGATGCAGTCTCCAAGGAATAGCGTGTGAAAGTTATCTGTGGTCCTATAGACCTCCTTTAATTATTTTTTCTCTCCATATTATAAAAGTGGTCCTACTTCTTAGTTTTATGTATAAAAAAAATATGTTCCAACTTTAATTATGTGCAGTACTACTAATTCATCCATGGTCCCACCAACTTTCATTGAGTGAGCGGCCAAAGTATAGGCAAATACAAAATACACCTGGCATACCGGGGGCGAGGAGGAGAGAAACAGTTTGAGAAAGGGAGGGAAAAGTAGAGGCAACAGACTGTTACAAAAGTGTTACAATAGCTCAAAACAAAATATCTCCAAACAGGACGAGGCCTTTGTGTCATTTGAAACGGCTTTGGCGGCTTGACGCAGCCCCCCAACCGCGGTGATGTTCTCAGAGTCAAAGATCAGGGTGTTCCTCGACTTCCAGATGTGACAGAGGATGACTACCACCATATCAAGACCCAACAGTGGGGGGTGGGGGTTGCTGCAAGTTGAGATGTAAAGTTCTCTCTCCTTTTTTTTTAAAAAAAAAAGTCTGCTCTGACAATACTTTTTCCCCTCTTTTATTTACTTGATCAGTATACTACCAATTCAACATGATTCAAATTAAATCATTAGCGTGACTAGACACACATTATTTGCCTACAAGTCATAATAGCTTTATTTAAAAAAAATATATGTGGATGGAAGGAAATAATGTTAGTGTTTCTTTCTAGGTAACTTAACAACTACGATTATAACAATATTCGTATGCCAGAGAACAAGACAGTAAAGTAGATTATGAGGATTGTGTTCTTCAAGAAAAAGTATGCCGAACTTTGAAAAGTTGCCTTGCCATAATTGTATTATGCGCACCAAATTGCACTATTGCATTGTCATTTTATAATTCTCGTCGACATTAAATAATTGTTATTGCTACAATCAATCTAGCGCAGGCAACAACTACCTTTTTTTTTACTTAATGTATTGTATCCATATGAACTGGTCCCCTCTATTAGTAAAACAAACAACACTCAAGACAACAAAACAAATCTTGCAAACAAGCAACATAATCTATTATCTTACAAGAAACATGTGGTCTCTCTATATTTTTTCCCTTAGAATAAATCATTTTCTAATTAATATAGTACTGTTAAATTCTAACATGCCTCGACATCTTTGATGTTTTCCACAACCCATCTTATTATACTTCTATGTTAATGATATTCATAGATAATAGAAATTAAATTACATTTTTTTGTTTTAGTGGTACAAGAATACTATTGCAGTGCTCATATTAGAATGGTCATAAAGTAAACTATAAGCATTGTATTCTCCAAGAAAAATATGCCGAAGTTCGAAAAGTCATCATTGTCCTTAGTGCATTATGTACATAAAGGTTCGCCATTATCAATTTACTACTCTTTCCAAGAATAAGTGACTGTAACTATAATTCATGGTCAGACCACGCGAGGTTGGTCATAGTAATACATAACCTGCTTGTATGATTAGTTCCACACATTTGTGAATAAATACTTGATGGATCTAGAATCTACAAATTGATTTCCTCTCTTAGTAGAACCAACAACCACCCTTAAAAAACAGTTGCACCTTCTCTTGTTCCTGACATAACCCTGGAAAGCCGTGATAATACAACAAAGCCATCTGGGGAGCAAAACCATCGGCATCTTCTTCTTGCTACTCTACTAGTTTTTCTCCCTGTCCCCACTTGCCATAGCAAAAAGTGTCACACCAGATGTGGACATACAAATTTGCAATAGAATAGAGAGCTGTGGGGGCTCCTTGGAACAAAGACGAGGGATAAAAGAACAGCGCAAGTGGAGTGATGCAGCCGAGGGGGCCAGATCAGAGGAAGGGACGCCGGGGAGGTGGCAAGGCGCAGAGACCAGAGATCAGCCTTTGCTTGTCGGACGCACCGAGGGAGGAGCGTGGGAGCCATGCTTCTCCCCTCTTCGTCTTCCTCTCCCGCTTCCAAAGGTTTCCATCTCTCTCCCCGCCATATCCATAGGACTAGACGACTAGTGTCCCTGTTGCTGTGTCGGTCCGCTATGTACGCGTCCCTGGATTGCTCTGGTATACTGCAGCCATGCTTTCTTGGAGCGTGTTTCTTTCCCCGCATGCGTTCTTGGTCTCCGAAATAGCGGATGAGATGTTTCTGTATTTGTTAAAGGTTGTGGAATCTTTTAGGATCTTGGCTGTGTTCTTTCTTTGCAGTTAAGCATCTCCTTTTGATGTGGGGTTATGTATGTGTGCTATACTGCTATCGGATTTGGTTGCATGTCCATTGGGCTTGGGCACACAGGTTGACTAGTCTTCGTGGACTTGGGGCGATGCTATTTTGATGCCTTTTAGAACTGCGCTGGAGGATCTCTAACATGATAGTGCTTAAACTCGATGGCAGAAATGGCGTTCCCTTGCCTTCCTTGCCATGGACTGGTAGCTTGGAGACTTGGAGTTGTCCTTCATTATTAGTCTTTGGTACTCCTGCCTTATCTGTGTGCATGTTCTTGGGATTTGGGATCATATATATCATCGTATATACTGTTTTAATTCTAGTTATTGCTTTGTAGCAATCATTCCTGGATGTGCTTACACAGTGCCATTTGTTTCTTTCGGCACAGCATGTTCTGTGGATCAGAACTGATGCCATTCGTCACTAATCTCCCGGCTTTCATCTTTAATTAGGTTCCGTTTGCTCTTTTCCACTTGAGTTTTTTTTTTCTTTCCATGTGTACATTTCTTTCAGCAGGTTTCCTTGTCATGTGTACATGTTCGTAGGCTAGTGAAGTTGTGAACTATAGTACTAGTCTCTTGAAGTTTTGATTTGCAATTTGTTGCCTGAAAAACACATGAGATCAGGCCTGCCCAGGTGAAGCTATCAAACTTAAATTAGTAATTCAGGTATCAGAATGCATTTCTATTATCCAGTTTGTGAGTGTGCATTATAGGAAGATTAACCTTCCAAGTATTATGTTTTCTGTTATGATTTAGAAACTTTTGGTGATGGATCAAAGATATTTTTTTTGTTAAATGGAGTATCTCAGTCCCATAGCCATAAGGGAAGCCCAACTTGCTCATGTTTCTTGAGCGAAAACGCACAATGAACGTGGATCTCATGGCATCGAATAAACATTATGTCTATGCATGTCCCTTTTTTCTGAGCATAAGTTTATGGTGTAAGTGTCATAGCGTTAACAATCATATGTGACTCCATTTTATTTTATATATAGAGGATGTGAGTTGTGACTAAAAATTAGCACAAATAGTAAGATACTTGTTCCCAGCCTCACCACAGGGAACACACATTGCTTTCTGCTCTTGCTGAGTAGCTAAACATTTTTGCAGAAATGTCTCTAGCTTGCTATAACATAATTTGAAGTCTTTAACCATCAACTTCTATTGTGACATGTTTTTAAATTTTACCGAAAATATAACATTATATAGTATTTTTCAAGGCAACTCTATCCATATAGATATAGTTTCTACCTGGCCACTCTTAATATTCATATAAAGACATTGTGGAACAAAACTAAAAGAGTTGATAAAACACTTTACAGAAAGATATATACTTTTTTCCCACTAGGAGTAACCATTTTCTTCCTCTTGCTTTCTAGGGAAAAGCTTTCCAAAATAGGCATAAGTTGCGAGTCGACATAGTAACACCACACTAGGTAGAAATAAAATGACAATAGCAAGAGACCAGTTTAGCCTTTACTGTGTCAGTATAAGAAACACCTAAGGAGGAAGTACTATATATTCAGAGGATGTTGTTACTTATCTTGAGTTTAGGATCCTTTGCACATTCAAATTTATTTTAGTAATTTAATGCAGCAAAACAATGCTTTCATTTCTTTTATCAGGTAACTCCTTCGGAAACACAGTTAATGATCATATGAGATCAACTTTGAGTTTTGATAACAAGCAACCTCCATTTGCAAGTCAAAACATTGACTGCGGTCAAACAATAGTAAGACTTATGGTGATATTGAACTTTATTTTTTTTCAATACTGATAAAGTCACCTTCCTAGTTTATTTTTTAAGAGTTCGTTTCTTTAAATAGGGTTTTTGGATCTGATTTTCTGCCTATACACAGGCTTGCATTTCATACCCGTACAATCATTCTGGCTCAGGAGGTGTTTGGTCAGCCTATGAGTCTGGCACCACCGCTGCCACTGTGGTATGCCCTTATACTAAATCGTTGCACTAAAATCTGTCAAGGCCTTTTGAACTTCAGTGCTGATGTCTCATGCATTTGAAATTTCACATAATAATGTTATTCAGGAAATCTCCTAGTTTTCAGTTCATTCTGAAGTATATGTTATTTATCTGAATGGCCCATCATCCTACCATGATTTAACATAGAATCTTAAAGTAGACTAGTAGCCTTGTACCTTATCCGTTTTCCATTTCAAGCAGTCATTTTTTGGACGGATCCTTAGTTCCTTGCATTAGCATGCATAAGCTATCACATATTCCTTTCTTGTAGCGTATTTACATTGCCTTTTTATTTGAGAACATTGTGCTATACTGACAGGTATGATCATAACCATAAAGGAAAATATGTGGCTACTAGTTATAAGATGGCTGCAGCTGCTTGTATTCTCCCATTATGAATAATATTGAAGGCTAGGATCATAGAAATCAATTTTTGTCTACTTGCGCAACTCTGACACTGATTTTGCAATTTTCCTTATGCAAATACACTGTTTCATAAATCATTCTACTTTTTAGAACTGAGAAAAAGGACCAGTATCCATCAGTTCCCTGGCTGGTTATATCAACAAAACATTGGCATGGGGGGTGGGGTGGGGTGTAATAACTTGTGTCCAAATCGTTGCTTTCAGGCCATGCACCTTTCCTTAACAATGACTCTACAGGCACCAGCGAGCTGGCAACTCCCAGATAGTTGCTGCTATTTGTACTTGTCTAAATTGACTTGTACTGCAAAAATTGTTCTCTAGGTTTCCATTACATGCCAGTGTTTATCCACACATCTTGAGGCATCCGTCCATCATATATGCACCTTGTTTATCAGATTTTTCATTATAAAAATACTATTTTTGTGGCTTTTGTCTGATCAGTTATATTTAAAGCAGTTCCGTTCCAAAATTTCTGCTGGGGGTACATCCGCAAGAATTCCCTTACCTTTGGAATTAGCAGAGAATGAACCCATATACGTGAATCCCAAACAATATCATGGGATACTTCGCAGAAGACTGTTACGTGCCAAGTTAGAGGCTCAGAACAAGCTAGTCAAGGCCCGAAAGGTCTGCATTATTAGTCCCTTATGTACTTTGATCTTGCTGTCCCATCTCTCAACATGCAACCTTTTGTCATTAGTCTCTTATGCTTGGCCTAATGCTGGATATACTCTTCATGGCAGCCTTACCTTCATGAGTCTAGGCATCTTCATGCAATGAAGAGGGCACGAGGTTCCGGTGGACGATTCCTCAACACTAAGCAGCTCCAGCAGCAACAGCAGTCTCACACTGCCTCCACCAGGTCCACCACAAATGGCACAAGCTCCTCAGGCTCAACTCATCTACGGCTTGGTGGTGGCGCAGCTGGAGATCGATCTATGTCGGCACCCAAAACAATGGCCTCACATGACAGTAGCAAGAAGGCTGTTTCTTCAGCTCTTGCCTTCACTGTGACTCCAATGTTGCGCAGAGATGACGCCTTCTTGCAGCACCCAAGCCACCATCTCAGTTTTTCTGGCCACTTCTGGCAGGCAAGCGCGCAAGCTAGGATGCATAATGGAAGTCAGCATAGGGTTACGTAGCATGCGGTTTTAAAAACAAAACCAAATAAACACTATATGTGAGTCCAGAAAGTCAAATATCACATATAGCTACAAATAAGGGTAATATCGAAAGACAATACTCAATATATAATGTACTTAGTATAAAGGATATAACATTAGACAGTAAATAGCGGAAAGACAACTCCGATCTTTAGGTGAAGACTCCAATGCCACAGGGACAACTGACTGGTTGATCACGAGCCTAACTCCTCCGGACTAGCAATCTGATACCCATCCGGGATTTTTATCCAAATATGTGAAAAATAAAGCAAGCGTAAGTACATGTCGTACTCAACAAATATAACATGGGGTTCATGAGGTTCAAAAGGCTGACACTGGTTAACTGCGATTAACTTTTAATGAGTCATGATTTTAACAATAGGATGGCAACAAGTTTATCCACAAGCCTATATAAACATATGATCAAGTAAACATGAATAATGAATAGCATAAACAATTAACCATTAATGAACATCTTTATCATCAGTATTATCAGTGTTCATCATCTATTCCGTAAGGGTTCCAAGGCCGCTCGTTACCGTAAGCACGGCTGATATACCAGTTTTACACTCTGCAGAGGTCGTACACTTTCACTGTGAGTCGTGATTTACCTTTTCGCCCGAGATGATCAGCCTCTTGACCCACTACCTAGGAAGGTCAGCAGGGTTCACTATGAAGCCTTTCAAAGGTTCGTCTAACAAGTTATGGCCATTAGATTCACTCGGCAAACAGATGTAGAGCCTCCCTTCCCGATGGCACAATGACGCGCAACCTATACACAAAGGGACAGAGGCCGCACTATACCCGATTCGGCAAGCCATTCTTACGCCAATAAAGACAACCACTAACAAGCTAGAAAAGGTCCTCATACTGAGCTAAAGCCAGAGTCATATAGTCCTCACAGCTGTACTGTAAGTCTCGGATGATCACTTACAGATAAGTCTTTAGGGAGAGGAATCTAGAGCACCTTAAAAATAGCCCAATGCTCTAGCCTCCTTATTTTATGTTGCTAAAAAACATCTTTTAATGTTTATTGCATATCCCATTAGTCAAGTTACAAGATTATGGTTGTAGTTGAGCACTAGCAAAGCTACCCAATGCATATCCTATAGGAGTCAAGGTACAAGTACAAAATATTAGGGTATCCTTAATGGTAGTTAAGGTAAACACATGCAATATGAATTAAGTGATTAAAGATGAATAGGTAACAAGGATGGTCCCATGCTATACTTACCTTAAAACACCGATCCTTCGGTAAGCTTTAATCTTCAACGTTCTTCTTCTTCTTCTTAATCACCACGTATATCTCACTCACTGGACATGATAATAAAGCACCACACAAGCATTCATGTAATCATACACGAAGCAAACAATAGATCTAAATTAGAACAGTACACCAATCATAGAAAAATAAGTAAAAGAGTTTGAAACACGATTCTACGCATCACTACGAACACACAGACGCGAAAATCACTCTAATCGGAGATACGATGAAAAAGATACATCTACCGATAGATTTGCTTTATACGTGGAAAAGAAAACTATATTCTTCATTTATTTTAACTATATAAATTCATATATATAAGATATTTTATAAATAATATAAATCGAATTAAGTCAATTTTAGATTTGAATTATAAAACTAAAGTAAAACAAATCATATTTTATTTATAAAATCCAGTTGCATAGTTATTAATCAAGATATGATTTAAATCATAAAATTTTAGAAATAGTAATATGGTAAACACTGTTACTAATGCGTAGACCTCGTTGTAATGAATCTAGCACAACTTGAATGAGTCAATTCGGAGCTAAAACGTAGAAGATATGATTTAAACAAGATTTACTTTAATAAAATAATAGATTAAATCTAACCACAAATTTTAAAAGTTGAAAACCTACTTAACAGTAGTATGAACACGTAGATTATGAAATTACGAACCTAACGCAAGTTGAATGGATCAAATCGGAGTTAAAACGGAGATTTTATGACTAAAATAAGGTTAGTGACAAAACTGTAAATAGGTGAAAACGTATTTTAGATCTAACCGAAATAAAGTACGCTTTCAAAGGAAGAAAACGAAATCGGGAAAAACGCTATGGACTGCGAGTTCTATAATTGAAAAAGGGAGGGGTTCTTTTGAAAATTTGCCCACCGAAGGGGTAAGTTCTAATCCTGGCCCTTGATCTAGATTTGGACAGCCAGGATTGAAACAGAAAGGGAAAGTCGCCGGCGGTGAGTTGAATGGCGGCAGCGCCATGGCCGGGCAAAGAGAGCTCGCCGGAATTCACGGTTTTCGGTCTACGGTCCACAAAAATGCAAGGCGAGGACACCAAGAGAGAGAGGAAAGGAGGGCGAACTCACCCAGGCCAAAAATGGAGGCGGAATCAGACCAAGGACGACGCGCCACGCGGGATGGTTAACGGCGGCGCTTAGGGCTACAGCTGCGGCTCGACGAAGGTGTTCTAGGATGCGGCGGCTTCAACTAGGGTTCGGGGAAGAGGCACGACACCTCGGGCGGCTGTTTAAGAGGCAAGGCGGCTTGCGGCACAAGGCACGACAAGAGACGTAGCAGGCGCGGAGTCGACTCGGCTGCGGAGATGGTGTCCGGCGTGGTGACGGGAGGTAGGAGAAAGGTGACGACTGGCTCGTGGGCCCGGTTCATCAACGACTCAGGAGGCGGGGTCGGCTGTCAGCGACTGCACGCGGAGAGAGGGAAACGCGGATGCGGCTCGGCTGGGCCGCCTGCTTGCTGGCTGGGCCGCGCGGGAAAAGAGCAGCGCTCTGGGCCGGCGGCGGAAGCGGGAGTGGGAGAGAACACTTGGGCCAGCTCGGCCCACGAGGGGAAAGTGGAGAGGGTCAGGCCGGCTGCTGGGCCAAAGAGGGAGAGGGGGAGAGCAGTGACTAGGTTTTTTTTTCCATTTTCTACTTCCTATTTCAAAACCAATTTCAATTATGAATCAAGTTCACATATTATTTCCAATATACTTTTCAATTCAAATAAAAATGAGAAATTTTAGTAAGTTTTCCAAAAAAAAATTTACAACTTTTTAATGATCTTATTTTTCTGATTTTTCTTTTCTTTTATTTCAAAGCCATTTTCAAATTTATTTCCAAAAGCAATTCAACCTATTTTGAAACTTAATTCAAACCACACAATCAATAAGTCAATTGCACCGGCATATATGCACAAACATGTTGCTACCTTAGGATAAATTTTAAATTAATGAAAATTTTCATTTTCCTATATTTCATGAGCACAAAATTCAGAAATAAATCATTTTAAACCTATTTTCAAAAAAGGCAAATTTTATGGTGTTACATGTTCCAGTTATGAGACGACGGTTTGCGAACCATAGCTGGTGATCCAGGCTTCTAGGGTCCTAGTGTCCGGTGTGGACGTGTGGTCTCGTCTCTCAGGCAATTCATCCTTGGCTTAGTTTATGGCTTGTTATTAGAAGGTACCGAATGTTTTTCATACTATTGTGGGCTTGTGGCCATAGAGCCCATATATAAACCTGGGTTTGATGGTTGACACTCCTACCCAAAATATTGTTGCAGTGGTGTGTGTTAGAATAAACCTTAGTTTTTTGGTTATTGTAGTACATTATACTGTTCAATTTGACTTTATCCTGTACTGCCAATTATTGTGTAGTGGTCAGTTGCCCAGTTTATGGCCTCAACAAGTCTACCTGTTTTTGTCACAACATCTGCTGAGTTGCTACTGCACTCTGTGGTGGAGTGGTCCGTCCTAGCTATGATCTTCCTAATTTTTAGCAGTACAAACCAGAATGCCAGTAACTTCAGACCATGGATATGAATCTTCATAATTTGCTTGTATGAACATCACAAATCAAACCTGAAATAATACTAGATTGGTTGCAATTTACAAAAGATGACAACATTTGCTCTGAAAATTTTCAACCTTCTATTTTGAACAAAAAAGATATAATATTTATATTACACGATAGACCATCAATACCCTATGCTACCACTCCAGTATTTGACAACAAACTATTGATCATCTTTCCATAAAATCATAAACTTGTACTATCATAATATTGGCCAAGAGCAGAGTAGTTGTAGCAAAAACAGAGAAACACCGTGACCCCGGTCCTACAAGCTTATGAATTAATACTATGAACCAATACCCACCTCGGCATGATTAGAATAAAGGATCAAAGTTCAAGAATAATAGGCACTAACTTTTTTTTTGAATCTATAGGCACTAACTATCAACGAGGAGCGGCACTGGCTTCTGATGATGAGGCCTCTATCGCTAGTGGCTTAGGTGATGGACGTTGTGGAGCACTTGCTTCGTGATGTCCATCGTATGGTTGCCAAAACCATAAACACTCCACACTAACCTCACACATAATGCACGTGCCACAAACCTGCAATAATCCTAGCGCCTAATATATGATATGAATACATATTTTATCACAATAGCAGCATTTGTACCATACATATACCAATCTGTCAAGGTATTGTAACTATTTGAGCAGTTCACAAACTGTTTGACTAATCTGCATCCACTTGTCAAGTTGTTATATGGTGAATTTAATTTTCTCTTTTTTGAATCACAGAGGGAGTACTACCTATCAAAACATGTATATGGGCTGTGATACATGTGTTTTTTTTTCATATCTAGCTTAATCTGTCATGTACGTAAATCTCAAGACCCCTTATATTTGTGGATGAAGGGAGTAGCCAAAATCAGGATGTAATAAATAGATCATAGTTTTGTTTAGCAGCAATTAAAAGTATCTATACTGGTTGACACCCAAAGAAAGAAAAAAAATACTATGCTATAAGTATACAAACAAGAACCACAATTTGCTGGAACGTTTCAAGTTATGAGGGAATCTCGCAACCAGTTACTCCAAGCCGATTATCTAAATGAAATTAGTAAAGAAAATAATGATGTAAAATCTTGAATTTTCCACTATAAAACTACCCCACCTCAACCGTTGAGAATCATAGGCATTCGAAAACTATCAACAGCAAAACCATCAAACAACTGCATCCCACTGGCCATGAGAATGAGAACCTACCATGGAGCACTGCTCCTCGTCCTTGCCATGGTGATGGCGATGCTGTCAACAGGTAACGATCCATAAGCAGCAGGACCGTTGGTTTTCCACCACACGACCATAGCGTCAGTTCATACTTCATAGCAATACCGTACGTAGTGATCTGATCTCCATTTCTTCCCTGCAGGGATCTGCACAGGCACAGCACCGGTGCCAGCGCCGCTGCCGACGGCGAGCTGGGAGTACCCACACGACCATAAGTGTTTGAAGATCTTGTCCAACAGTGGCTGCGACCAAAAGGCGTGCAACGGCAACTGCTTCATCAAGCTCAAGGGTGCTGGAGTGTGCCTCATTGGGAGCGACGAGTGCTTGTGCTACTACCCCTGCAAGTTGCCGCCGCCGCCCGCATGATGACAGACTGACAGCATGCATGGCCATACAGGCAGCGGGCCGCTGAGATGACGTTCAGATTTGCGTGACATCCTAGCATCCTCCTAGAGGCTGCATATTTTTGCTAGTGTCAAATCTGTGTGGCATGCTATGTATTCTGTCATTTTGTGCTCTGTAGCGGCACTGTTTCTAATAACCATGCTCGAGAATAATTTAGATGGACGAGTTCGTCTTCATGCCTTGCGTTTTGAGAATTGGGTTCCATGCCAACACGACGGATACGTTCTCTAATTCTGACATGGACAACTCGAACATGTACTCCAGAGACTTGCGCTTTCCTTTCTCAAATGCTAACGCTGGCATGATGCCTACGTCGCGACCTCGCGGGTTGCGGTCATCAGTTCACTGGCTCGGAGTACGAAAGGAACCGGCGGCTTTTATTTTTTTCTGAAACGAAGGAAGTGGCAGCAACGCCCAAGTTCAATCCTCGTCTCAGACACACTAGTTCACCTAGGAGGCTAGGAACGGGGATAACCCCCCCCCCCCCCCCAAAGCGCCCACGGGCTCGGGGGTGGCAAAGCCCTCCACCTCTCCGGTCGCCGCCGCTGCCCTTAGGCGTGCGGCGGTGGCAGCCCGCAGAAAGTGCCCTCTAGTCGCAGCACACCCGTCCAACCCCTACTCCTCCTTCACCCCTCCTCTACCCCTTGCTTCTCTGGCTGATCCGGCGGTTCGTGTGGAATCCAGGGCCGGATCTAGCCTCTCCTTCCCCGGATCGGTGACTTCGCATGGTGTCAGCAGGCTCAGCCGATGGTGGAACGGTGGTTCTCCCCCTTCGGTTTCTGGGCTCCTCGGAACCGGAAATCATGGGGTGTCGTACGGGGGGCGATAGCCTTGGTGATAGCCGGCGTGCCCCCTTCCCCCATCCCCTTCTGGGGCCCTGCCTCTCCTAGCTATCCGGTGGAACATGCGGCGTGTGGGGCGGCCTGGGCCTCATTGCGGTGGTGGCGTTGTCACCAAGGTCCGGGAGGTAGCACGGCTGGCTCGCCCGCTTCGTCCCCAGGGCCTTGGTGTCCCTGGTGACAGCGGCTGACTTGCCATGCTATCCTTGGTGCCCCTGGTGATGGCGGCTGCCTCGCCATGCTACGCAGCCTGCACGCTGTTCCTGTGCTCAATTGGGGTTGGTGCGTGTGGTCGGCATCTGAGCACAGGGTGGCTTCCCCGCCATCTGCGGTCGAATAGTCTCTGGGTGAAAACCCTGCCCGACTTCTTACTCTGGGCCGACGACGGTGGCGCGGCCAGTGCCATCCACCTTCTTGGAGGCGTCATCAAAGGTTGTATTCGTCGCAGGGGTTGATGGGGCAAGTTTGGGGACGAAAGTCCCTCCCGTGTGCCTCTCCCAACGTCGATGGCATCCACGGATGTCATCCCCCTTTTGAAGGCTTCGTTGGTGCACTTCGTCAGTCGTGCCATTGCCGGAGTTGCTCCTTGCTGTGTTGTGCTTGTGTGTGTGCTTCAACCTTCTATTTGCGTTGGTCTCCTGCCATAGTGTTTGGTGTAGCCGCAGTCACTCGGTTCTTCGCAGCGGATACTTGGCCGTTGTCGCTCTCTTTGGCGGATGCTTTGCCACCGTTGTTGCTTAGGCAGATGCTTTGCCGCCGACGTCTCTTTGGTCTCCCCTCTCAGGCAAATGCTTTGATGCTGAGCGTGTGACGCCCCCACTTGCAGATACTTTGCCACGTCGTCTCTGGTGGATGCTTTGCCGTGGTACTGTTGGATGTTTGTCTCGTCTCGTCTCAGTGCATGCTTTGCCACTGCGGCTTCATCTCCCTTGTTAGCAACCTTTGTGTTGGTGTATTCATCCTTTCATAGGTGTAGTCGGTTAGATTTTGAGGTGGAGGGTACCTCTCTTACTACCTTTCTTTCTTCTATACCTCTGGGTGGTCTAGGTTGCTAACCACTTTCTTTGTGGTTTTGTAGTCTGTGCTATGGGGTCTCATATCTGCGTCATGTTGTATTTTGCAACCTTTTCTCTTAATGAAACACACGTCTACGCACGTGTTCTCGAAAAACACTAGTTCACCTACGAGAAAACAACAACCACTACTACATTTTCACAAACATGCTTCTTGATTATTAGAGGTGGACGTTTTTAGGAGCCGCCTTTGTAAATGGTCAAACGGGTCTCAGGAAAACACCCGCCTCCCATTGATCATTTACAAAGACATATATCCTAATGAGTCCATCTCTATTAGTTGACTATTTATAGAGGCAGTCACCTTAGGACGCCAACCTATGTTAATAAATAACAGCAGCGTACTTTCCTCTTGATGAAATACATGCCACTATGGGATTGTTCGAGAAAAAAACAGCAGTGGACTTCTTCTAGTTTTGTCGTACGTTGTGATCGGATGTGGCATAGCACTCAATGACACATGGTTTATACTGGTTCAGGCAACGTGCCCTATGTCCAGTTTGAGTCGGTCGGTGACTTTATTCCTGAGCCCAGGTGCTCAAAGTTTGCTGTGGGGTTACAAACGAGAGAGAGTAAGATGGGGGGTGCAAGAGGTCCGGTCAGACTCTGGACCGAAGGGCCGAGAGAGATGGGAGCTCCTACATGCGCTGATTATTTGAGCGTGTGCTCTATTGGAATCGTTCGAATCATAGGTTGTTCGATCCGCTGGTGGTTGAATCGTTTGTGAATTGATCCGTTGTCCTTTTGGAGAGAGCGCATCCCCTTTTATAGATGAAGGGGATGGCTTTACAAGAGAAAGAGTGCGAGAGAAAGAGAGTGTGTGTGTGCTATCTAGTCTTGTTGCCCACGCCGTCGGGTACAAGGTGGTTTGTCGGCGCCCACAACACTGTTGATGTCCGGATGCATGTGATAGGCTCCATCGTGATCTCCGGTACGGCCGATCTCGGAGCCTACCATACTGTAGGATAAATATCGGCGCCCATAACATTGTTGGTGTTCTGACATGTCTGGAAGGATATAAAGTACCCTTCTGACATGACCTGACAGTACTGTCCTACAGGTGTGCAGGGTACGGTCCTTGATATTGCGGTTGACTGGAGCGCCCCGCCTTACATGACCTGTCTGTTTCCTGGGTCTTCACCAAGCGGGCATCCCCGGTCGGTCATTCCTTAGTCGGCTCTGGCATCCCGGTTGGAGAAGAGCTATAAGCAGAGGTTTGATGTACTTCTGGTCGGAGAAGCGAATCGGAGTCATAGGCGAGCGTCGTTCCTTCTCGGCCAGGCCTTCCGGTCGGAGAGGCGGGCCAGAGTCGGAAGCGAGCGTCGGAGTCAGAGGTGAGCCGGCCAGGCCTTCCGGTCGGAGAGGCGGGCCAGAGTCGGAAGCGAGCGTCGTTTCTCCTTGGCTAAGCCTTCTGGTCGGAGAGGCGGGCCGGAGTTGGAAGCGAGCGCCATTCCTACTTGGCCAGGCCTTCCGGTTGGAGAGGCGGGCCGGGGTCGGAAGCGAGCATCGGTCCTCTTCTTGGCCAGGCCTTCCGGTCAGAGATCGCCCTTCTAGCCTGTCGTTAGGTTTTTGGGCCGGCCCAGGAGTTACGCGTCGTTCACAACGTCGTCTGCTGGGCTGAGCTTTTACTAGGAAGCAGGTCAATGAGGGACCCCGAGTTTATGAACCTGACAGGAGCCCCCGAGCCCTCGGGCGATTCGGGTAGAATCGTCTAGGAGATTTTTGTCTTTGACGGCGGGTGCGCGCGAGCGCACCCGCGGGTGTAGCCCCCGAGCCCCCGGGCAATTCGGGTAGAATCGTTTGGGGGTTTTTTTTGTCTTGGCAGTGGGGGAATTCTTCATTTTGACAGCGGGTGCATGCGAGCGCACCGCGGGTGTAGCCCCCGAGCCTCCGGGTGATTCGGGTAGAATCATCTAGGGGTCTTTCGTTTAGCCAATGGGGGAATTTTTGTTTCGACTACGGGTGCGCCGAGCGCACCCGCAGGTGTAGCCCCCTGAGCCTGTGTCTGACTGGCGAGTCGGTTGGAGGCTAAGCATCTTGGTACTCTTCCCTGGGGCCACAGACTATCGTTCGGGGTGTTCGCCCTTGTTTGTCCTGCCCGTGACCCGCCCGGTCGGTTGATTTCCTGAGTCGATGTCGGGCGACCTGAGCCCCCGAGCCCCGTTGGGCTTGCTAGGGGTTGGTCTAGTTCTATGCGTTACCCCGTCCGCGGTTTCTGCAACCGGAGGGGCTGAGCTAACGTTGATTGCCTCGATGGCTCGAGTGACGCATTCGATGAGCTCGCTAACGGGCATGTCCAAGTGGAGTCCGGGTCCGTCGTTCATGATGGGGTCGACATAGCTCTCATGTGGCATTCCACTGCTCCTTAGCCCGCGTCCCGATAGATGCCCGGGTCATTTCGAAGACCGACCCAGGTGGCCCGATGGCCTTCCCTCGATGGAGATTCTGTGGGCATGGCTCGAGGTTTAGGATCGAACGAGAAGGTTGAGATGACCCTGACTACTCTGGGGCAGATTGGGCGAGGGCCGCTGGGGCTCTTATGCATTTTCTTCCTTAGCTCTGTTTGACGTGGGGCGGTCTCGAGCCCTTCATGGGCCGGCCTTCAAACCCTGGTCGGTCGTTGCTCATGTTGAATGAGGCAACTACCATTTTGTGATGCAACACGAAGCATTGTGACGCATTAGCTGCATATGCGATGCTTTGGATGTATGGAATGAATGAATGATTGTGTGAATGAATGCGTGTATGAGAATGGATGGATGAATGAATGATCATGCATCAGGAAAAATAAAGTAAGAGGGATCGGTAGAGTTACCTTGCCGACCCGAGTGACAGGCTTGAGGAGTTTTTATCGGATATGTCCGAATGGGGTCCATGCTTGTCATTCGTGATGAAGTCGGTTGTGGCCCACATGGGGCGTCCCTCTGCTCCTTACCTGTCCCTCGGTTTTTGCCTGAGCTGTCCGATTGACTCAGGAAGCCCGTTGGTCTCTCTTTGGCGGAGATCCCGTTGTTGGGCCCTTCCAAGTCTTGCCTGGGAAGGCAGAGAG